TATTTCCCTGAGTTTTTTGAAATCAGCTTTCCTGAAGTCCAGGATACGAGTCCTATTATGTCCTTGTTTCACATCCTTCTCTATGTCAAATTCCAAGCTGACATGGTCACTATTCCCCAAGGATCCCACAACATTCATTTCATCAACCATTTCTTCCCTGTTAGGCAGGATTAAATCTAGGATAGCAGATACTGTGAGAGATGAAGTTGTCCGCAAGACTATTCAAGAATCTGCAGGATGCCCCATGTCTAGCAGTTAGATTTCCAGCAAATATCTGGATAGTTGAAATCTCCCATAACCACTACATCCTGTCTCTGTGAAAGTTTAGCAAGCTGTTCTACAAATGCATCATCCAGTTCCTCTGGTTGGTTTGGAGGTCTGTAGTATACCCCCACAATTCCCCCCCCCCCGATCTATCCTTACCCACACACTTTCAACAGGGCAACTCTCAAAATCCTGAATTTCAGCGCAAGCGTATTCATTCTTGACATATAGTGCCACCCCGCCTCCTTTTTTGTTTATTCTGCTCCATTTAAACAAGGTATATCCTTCAATCGCTGTGCTCCATATATGAGACTCAACCCACCAAGTCTCAGTGATACCTATCAGATCATACTTACTTTCCACTATTTGAAGTTCAAGCTCCTCCTGTTTATTTCCTATACTCTGTGCATTAGTATAAAGACATCGCAGATTACAGACATCCTTTCCTACCGTAGGTCCCTTCGATTTTACATGAAAATTACTGAACTCACCTCCCTCCAGTTCATTTATTCTCTGGTCACTCCCCTTCTTGAACTTAGTGTTGGGGATGCTGCACAACATCAGGCTTTTTCTTCCCACCCCTTTAATCTTTAAATCTTTAAAGTGCTACTGGGCTCTTGGTCTTTTCTACTACCATCAGTATATTACATTTGTTACATAGAAATCCATGTTATATAGAAACCAATGCATTTCTAATAAGCAAACAAAATACAGTATTTACCGAGTTATAATAAAATCCGGTGCTGTGATCATAATATAATCCAGTGCCTTCATCATATATAAATCCTGTTTGTGAAACAGCAGCTTCTGCCGCAGCCCTCAAACTTTCTGCTAACGTACCTTCTGCTAATAAAGTGTCTTCTGATTCCTAATATTAGAAACACAGCATAAGTGAAAATATATATACAGAACTTTCAGGATGTGCATTTTACAATCTTTATTTTGTTCCTGCTCACTGCAACCCAAAGAGGTATCCGTGATATTATCTCATCAGGTGTAGAAGCTCAGAAATAGTGATTTGTCAAGCTAGTGAGTTTCTGGCTGATCTAGGATCCGATTCCAGGCCAGCTGGTGTGGGAGAGGCAGCCAAAAGAACAACAAGTCATCCACAAAGTGACCAATAATTTGCTGATGGAGAGTAGGTATGTTACATCACCAAGAATGCAAGACAACAGCAGCAGAAAGGATTCTGAGAAATAAGTGGGGTCCACTATCTCTCTTGCCTTGCACAAACCACTTATTTTTTACATCCTCAGCAACACAAGAGAGGATCAGGCTGTGTTTGCAGAACAGGGAACCAATTTCACCCCATTCTCCTTACTGCAGCCCCCTCAACCCACACAGCTGGTTAGTCCACATGGGTCCCCCTACCCCAGCAAACAACTGCACTGCTGAGAAGCCTGTTGGATGCCTCTGTCTCCTTAGAAAAAAAGAGGATATCACCACTCAACTCACCTGCACATCATGGATTACATTATCCTGCATCTCATGTTCATTGTTTCTTGTGCTGTTAACATCTGAAGACGGTAACTGCTCCGTACAATTAGAGTTTGAGCCTTCATTATCACTATTTGGCTCTACTGGCACTCTAGATGAATCAGGCTGAGGCTCAGTACTGTTATAATAGCTATAATAGTAATAATCTGTTGAAAACAAAAAGTGAAATTATCAAAGCAGTTTAAAATCAAATTCCAGGTCCATATTACCATTAAACATGCATTATCTAAATCTTTCTATATCTTTTCAAGTTCAGAAGTTTAATAACCTGTGGACTCGTCTTTATATATGCACCTAACTTTCACTTTTTTGTTGTTGAAAGAATTCAATTATTGTTTTCTTCAGAGGAACAACTAAACTCCAACAGGCAATTAGATACCACTACATAATGATTCATATAATCAAGAAACTAAATAGGTGACTGTGTCTACCCCAAAGATCATGTAATTAAGAAAATATCTTAAAAGTGAAGGAAATGACAACTGGCAAAACAAGGTAAACTACACGTCTGAAGCATAAAAGAATGCAGACATTCAGCACAACATTATATGTCCAAAATCAATATGGACCAAAACATCCCCAAGGAGGAAAAGCAGTGAAGCTTTAGGTTCCTGTAAATCTGGGAAACCCCAGGGTTGCAGAAAAATACCAAAAGTTGTTGTTGTTTTTGTCACTGAAAAATCCCACAAACAGGATGTCTGTGCATACACAGATGCCAGCGGAGGGAATCTTTGGGTGACGTTAGAGCAACCCAAACTGACACCTGTAAGCAGTGCTGCAGAAACTGTGGTGGTAAGGCTGAGGAAGAAGGAGTGAGGGGAGGACAAGGGGAGGAGGAAAGAGCTGCAAGTGGCTAAGGGGAGCAAGAACACAGCAGAAATATTACACATTTGGATTGACACTTCCCTCATGTTTGGTAGCGAGTAACACAAACACAGTACACAGCATGAAACAGCCAAGGTTTCTACAACTGGCACAATCAACACAATAATTTACAATTAAAAACATACCAGTCCCTATGCACTAAAGCAATCTATAGCGATTGGTTTGAGGGAGTCCTCTTATGCCATATAGCAATATCAAGGATACAGAGAGATGCATTCTAATTTGATTTCACACTGAACAGTCTATTCTCTTGGAAGACCTGAAGAAACTGAATATATTTTGGAATATAATCTGAATATATTTTGGAAATGGATGAGACAAAGCCTTTCCTTTCTGCCAGCACATGGCTACTAGTAGGAACAAATTGAAAGCACAAAGTTTTCCTTTTTAAGCATCTTATTACTTTGAACAAGGACCAAAAGCAAGCTCATATAAATTAAATTTTGGCAATTATATGCTTAACAGAGAAGCAAAGGAGAATTAGTAAAAAAAAATCTATTTAATTAACCATGTAATTAGTATTTGATTCAAATACTAAAGGGGTTTAAATAGTGCAGAGTCAGTGACATCTAGTGGCTTAAGGAACCGGATCAGGGAGACTGAGGTTCTTTGCCATAAAGCCCATTGGGTGACCTTACGGCACTCTCCCTCAGCCTCAGTTACCTCATAAGTTTGTTATGAGGACAAAACGGAGGAAGAGACAGTAACATCGTGCTCCTTGGATGAAAGAATAAAAACGTTAGCATGCAGACTGACACCTAGAATTTTTCCACCAATCAATACAGAAGTTTCTTGTGCAGAAAACAAATGCTATCAAGAGGGTTTTGATATTAATTTGTAAATTACAACATTGGATCTATTAATTACCTGCATGTGACCATGCATCACAGTCTTCAGTTTGCACTTCTATACTGGATGTTGCCTTCTCACTTCTTTTTCTACCACTGCTCTCCTTACTGAGAACTTCAGCCTACAGAACAAGACAGTAGTATCTATTACAGCATACTAAGTCCATGAATACTATTGCAATTGGTTATCTTATTTAAAAGATTCCCAGTTTCATTTCATAACAACCCTGTGAGGTAGACTGAACTCAATGTATTAGAGGTGATAACAACAATATAAGCCTGGAGAGGAGACGACTGAGAGGTGATATGATAACCATCTTCGAGTACTTGAAGAGCTGTCATAGAGAGGATGGTGCAAAGTTGTTTTCTGTTGCCCCAGAAGGTTGGACCAGAACCATCAGATTGAAATTAAATCAGAAGAGTTTTCGGCTACACATTAGGAAGAACTTCCTGACAGAGCTGTTCCTCAGTGGAAGAGGCTTCCCATGTGACTAGCTACAGGAGTGGTTGCAAGACTAGAGACAAAAGGATACAGTGGAATAGGTGATATGTGGGGGAGAGGTTCAGTGAAGAATGTGAATAACAGAGTGCTAGTCAAGCTTTACTGGAGTCAAAATTCACCAACACTATAACCTGTGTGTCAGGCCTAGAACATGTGGGGGGAAAAGGACACAATACAACTTTTCTTCACCATTACCATTGTCTCCCACATCACCACCTAGTGGTTTCTAGGTACGTTTCAACCATAATGGTTCATTTTAGAGAAAGCAGCTATTAAGAAGGGTGGTAGGAGAATGTATGCTAAGTGACAGGGTTAAAGATGGAGAGGATGATGCTAAGGGCACACTGGGCTACAAGATCCCAGGAAGAGTTCAGAATGACTTGCCAAGTGTGGGATGAAGTGAACACTTACAGTGACCTCCTATACAGTTTCCGCCCCCCCCCCCCAAGCTAAAACAATCAAAATGGAGTTTGGATTGGAATAACTCCACCCAGGATTGCACTCTCAAGTTTCCCAAAATCAAACTGCGAAACACAGGGTTAGCCTAAGACACTGGATTCAAGGAGTCCATAGGAAGCACGTATTCCTAATAGCTACGCAACATTTCAGGAAACCGACAGAGCGGCATTTCCAGGGCAGGTGATGAAGCGACTGACAAAAACGAGTCCTTGTCTGTCACTTACACGGCCAAAAATATGAGGCTCTCTAGCAAAAGCGGGAGGGGGCCCCTACCTCTCTCCGTAGCTTGGAGGCGCTGGCCTGGGCTTTGAGGCGCAGCTTCTTCTCTCGCTCCAGGCGGCTGCGACAGGCCTCCAACTCCGCCTCCAGAGCCGCCACCTTTTCCCGCAGGACCCCCACCTCGGCGTCCGGCTCTGGGGGCTCCGCCATCCTTGCGCGGTGCGGGTGTGTGTGTGTGGGAAATCTCCTCAGCGGCAGGCACTCAACCGCCGGACGGCGCGAGACGGACCCGAGCAACGGCAGCTGCCCAGCGCCCCGGACCCGGTCGCCTTTACAGCCATGGCAGCGCCCAAACGGACACAAAACAGCCCCTCCCTCCGCTTTCCTTTGTGGGTCTCTCTCAGAGGGTTCAAAAAACAGCGAAAAGTTTCTCGGGGCGTGGAACCACCAGGACGTAATCCTCACGGAAGTGACGCTAATACGGAAGCGCACAGAAACGCGAGCAAAACTAGACATGGGCCGGAACTTCCGGGAACAGATGGGTAAAGTGTGCTTTGGGGCCAGGGCGTGTGTTAGGCTGTTTAGCTTGATTATCGGCCCTAGATTGAAGTAAAGTACTCGTCGTCCGTTTAGGTAGCCTAAGATTTTTTGTGAGGCCCAACCGGGATTGTATAAAACAGTGCGCAGATTTTTGAGCGCCCCAGAATTATTTTTCAGGCTGAATCCTCAGGATTTTGACATTGGGTTGCCCCAGACTCACTATTCAATCACTTATCTTATTCATGGCCACAGCCTGTATGACAAAAATGATGTACCAGCTGCTTTGTGGCACCACCATGGCACAAAAAGATGGTTCCAAAGTACAGATCCTCATGGATCCTCAGGATTTTATGTTTGGTCATGCCAGATTAATTATCCAATTACATATCATGTCCATGGCCACAAATTGCACTGCAAAAAGCACATCTACCACCATGTGGCACTGCCAGGGAACAAAACTACAGTTCCAAAGCATGGATCCTCATGTTTTTTGTGCTGAGTCACCCCAAACACAACATCAAATCATGATTCATGTTGTTGGATCAATGTCTTCCTTGGCCGCTCCAAGGAACACATCAAAGAAAAGGAAAGTCAGTCTGGAGTATCTTTTAGTTGTGCTTTATTGTGCGATAAAGGGAGTCGAACAAAGGCGAGGTCAACTCAACATTCCAAACAACCTCCATTTATCACCTCTTCCTGGCCAGTTCCTCCCTGTCCTGTTCCCCCTTACTGGGTGCCTACAACACACAATAAAACATACAACTCCTTGACATGACCCCCCCTCCTTGATCATACATTGTATGTGCATTCAAATTAGCTGTTTAAACATTCAAAGTGTGACAGCTAATATTCATGAAGTCATTAGGCATGCATACTTATTAGTGTCTATGTAAGTCAAGGCTACTCCTTGCAGTCCACATTCCTCCACCCCCCTCTAATCTTTATCTCTAGGGTTTTTTGCTACTCTGCCTAATTCCTTAGGCAAACTAATACTCCAGCCATTGTTCACATAGTTACACAGTTGCTTCAGCTCACTTTAACTATTCTTTTCTCTCAGTGTTCATAGCCACAGCTTACACAACATAAATCACACACCCAGTGCTTCCTGGCACCACCATGGCGTAAAATGATAGTTTCAAAGCATAGATCCTTATGGATACCCAGGATTTTGCATTGAGTGACCCAAAATTCAATCACATAGCATATCTAAAGCCACAGTTTGCACCACAAAAATCATAGATCCACTGCTTTGTGGCACCACCATGGCACAAGACTGTGATTCTAAAGCGTGGATCCTCATGATTTCTACTTTTCCATGGGCACGGATTGCACCACAAAATTCACCAATCCATTGCTTCATGGTGTCGCCACAGTGCAAAACCTTGGATCCAAAGTATGGCTCTGTAGAGGACAATCAAAGGGTTCAAATGATTTTCTACTGATTATTGTTGATTTCCAGGGAACCTCTGGGAGTGATGCTTTGGGGCTCTCCTGGAGAATTACCAACCTGTTAGCCACTAAGCAGAGTTATGAAAGCAGGTGTTTTAAATCAAACTTAATTGACATGTTCCAGCCCTTGCTTCAAACTAGGGAGTTAACTGCAGGTGCTTTTGCCCAGTTAACTTAGCTAACTTTTCATTAGGACCCATCATAAGCTTGAAGATTTATGGGAACCTCTCTGCTTCAAAGGAATTAATGAGCAAAGCCTAAAATTGGGGTAAGACAGAGGACAGTTATATATTGTAAGAGAAAAACTCTCTCTCCTGATGTGTGTGTTTTTAGAACTCTATATTTTGTGTAAACCTGAGCATTTACCAAGATTATGGTATAAGATATTTGTAAAGTCAGCAGCTAGCTAAAATATTAATTTTGCTACCAAGTTTACTTTTTAAAGACAAAAAGCATGCTTGCCTAAAGAAGAATAGACTCTGTTGGTTTGCATAAATACTTGCATGAACTGGACTGGTGTAAAAACACCCCAGTAATTAATTGTCAGTTAAGAGGTTTATGGTCAAAACACTCAGAACTGACCTGGCAAGAATTCACAAGCTAAGCTAAGGGATGCCAACATTAATTGGGTTAAATAAAGTTCAATTGTATTTTCTATGGAAAATAAACTTAATGCCACACCCCCTGGCATCCCCCCCCCTTTTGGTTTTTATCACCGGAAGTGTGTCAGAAGGCAACACCCACCGCTCAGGCTCCACTGGACTGTTTTGGATTGCTAGCTATTGGGAGGGAAGAACATGCAGATCTGTCCTCGCAGAGGAGGGAGAGCTTGTACCTGAATAAAACTTGGTCTTAAAGGTGCCACTGGATTGTTTTGGACCAGGGGGCCGGGGGGAGCTCTGCAACTTACCTGGCTGCTTCTTGCTCTGACTGAGGGCTGCTGGGTGCAGGGGGTAGGGCTTTTTGCATGTGCAATATTTTAAACAATATTTCATAAAATTAAAGACCAGAAATTCCTGATTATTTTACACATCCACCAGCAGTGATAATAAGTGGCAATTTCATTACATGATTGCCAACAAACAGGTGAGTATAACTTATTAATCTGGTGGAGTTTAGCTGGAGTGTGGTACCATCGTAGAACTCGTTTTAAAGCTTGGGCCTTTATGTTTAATGATTTGGAAGTCATACTAGGAGATGACCAAATTTTAAGCCAAGTAGAATCGGTGGATCTGTGATTTCTGTGGTGCAAACTGTGGCCACAGGTGTGATGAGTGATTCGGTGGTGAGTTTTGGGGCAACCCCATATAAAAATCATATAAATTCATGAGGATCAATGCTTTGAATCCATGCTTTTGCACTATAACCATGCCATGAAGTGATGGATCTGTGATTTTTGCAGTGCAATCTGTGGCTGTAAATATGATGAGTGATTTGGTGGTTAGTTTGGGGAAACCTAATGTAAAAATCTTGATGATCCATGAGGATCCATGCTTTAGAACCCTGTTACTGCACTGTGGCGGCTCCACGTATTGTGATTTTTGTGGTGCAGGCTGTGTGCACATGATATATGATGTGACAATAACATTTAAAAGTACATTATAAACATATAAAATCAATAATCATAGCTTGCTGTAGGGAGAATGCGGCCCATTGATGTAGGTAGGTGATTCACACATGGAATTCAAAGAGTGATTCACACATGGAATTCACTGCCACAGGAAGTGGTGGTGGCTACAAGCATGGATGGCTTCAAAAGGGAATTAGATAGGCATATGGAGCAGAGGTCCATCAGTGGCTATTAGCCACAAGGTATAGATAGGGGCTCTGGGGCAAGTGATGCTCTGTCTTCTTGGTGCTTGGGGGGGCCAACAGTGGGAGGGCTTCTAATGTCCTGGCCCCACTGGTGGACCTCCTGATGGCACCTGGTATTTTTGGCCACTGTGTGACAGAGTGTTGGACTAGATGGGCCTTTGGCCTGATCCAACATTGGGGTCTCTTATGTTCTTATGTTAGGTATGACCGGTTATCGGTGGGTGGGAGACAGCAACCTCGGGGAGGCCATGTGTGGACGCCTGCTGCTGTGGTAAGAAATTTTAGAAATATAGAAAGGTTTGGGGTTTAAAAATGAACCAAATAGTTTATAAAATCCATATAGCTGTCTCTGTTTTTGCTAGCAAAACAGCAAACAGTTTGTGCCAGACAAATCTCTTTCTCGGTCATAAATGCAAAAGTTCACAACATTCCATTCCCAGGATCTGAATCAATGTAAATTTCTACAGGTGTGAGACTTACCAATACCCACAGCAATAAAACTGCAGCTGGCAGGAAAAAAACACACCATTTGGGCAGTAACAGACCCTAATCCAAAATGCAAACTCCTGAGATACAGGATTTCACATACCACTTCCACCAGAGGTAACTTCAAAGTTATCTCTCTGATAACTTCAAAGAACAGTTTATCCCATTGGTGGGAACACCAGGAAAACAATTATACTGATCCAGTAAATAAAAGTGTAAACTTTTGTTGTGTGAGACCAAGGAAGCAATTTCCTGCAAGACAATTTCAACTTCTAAATGTTAATTTACTACTGTAATTTGATTATTGAGGGACCTCTTTGATCATTTGGTATAAATAGTGGTCCAATCCAACAGACTTTTGCTGGTTCTTAGTAGGAGTCAGCCCGAGAGGCCTCTCATTCTTTGCATGCTTTGGGGTGGGATAGAACTTTGCTTGCATGTTTATTTTTCTGTGTATTTACTATCAATATTTAGGAGATAGAATTCTACTGTGTTGGCAAGCTGGCATAGCATCTTGCTGGTTACCTTGCCAGGTAAATCTTTGAATGTTTTTCCTTTAATAAAGATAAGTTTTACTTTAAGAAGAGACCTTTGAGTGTCTCTGCCAGCGCTTAGCGGTTTCCAAGTTTACACCTCTGCCTTTGGTAAGGAGGCAACACTCAGGGGACACATGAACCAAAAGGGGGAGTGTGGGTGTCACAGGTAAACACACATTCACAGACACGTGCAGCCACACACACTTTTCTCACAACAGCTGCCTCGGACAAAAGCCTGGCAGAACAGCTCCATCTTGCAGGCCCTGCAGAATTGAATAAGATCCTGCAGAGCCCTGATCTCAGTAGGGAGCATGTTCTGGCCCTGGTTGACACTAGGCGGACATCCTTTGGGTCAGGGATCGCCAGGAGATGTTGACTCTCAGAGCGTAACGCTTTTCAAGGCGTATATGGGAAGAGGCAGTCCCTTAGGTATGTTGGTCCCAGGCCGTATAAGGCTTTGAAGGGATCCGGTACTCAACCGGCAACCAATGCAGCTGACAAAGCACATGCCAAACGTGAGCCCACACAGGTGTCAACGTCAGCAGGCGTGCCGCCACATTTTGTACCAGCTGTAATTTCCAGATTCGGTTCAGGGGTAAGCCTGCGCAGAGCGAGTT